TCTTCTCTTCCTAGAACTTAGGTTTCAGACACCAAAGTAACCTAATAATCCTCCAATAACAGACTGCAATAAAAAGGAAATTTGCAAAATGCTAGAAAACCAACTCAAAATAATATTAAGAAAACCCAGGAAGATACAAAAGAATAGAAAAACAATTTAGTAAAAATCAGTTTGGTGAAAACTATTCATGATCTGAATGAAAAATTTGACAAAGAGATAGATATCATAGAAAATAAAGAAACAGACTTTAAAGCAAACCAAAGAATAGAGGCACATAGCAGTCAACTGCTCTTCATGAGATAGAACCAAAGGAATAGGCCAGGTGCAGTGGCCATGCTTGTAATCCCAGCTACTTGGGAGGAAGAGATAGGAGGATCACAGTTGTAGGCCAGCTTGGGCAAAACATTATCATTATCCTATCTCAAAGAACAAACTGGGCATAGTGGTACACATCTATAATCCCAGCTATGATGGAGAGGCATAGGAAGGAGGATTGCTATCTCAGGCTAGCCTGAGCAAAAAGTGCTAGATCCTATATGAAAAATAACTAAAGTAAAAAGGGCTGGGGATGTGCCTCAAGTAGGTGTGAGCCCCTGAGTTCAAAACCCAGTACTGACAAAAATAAAAAATAAAGACATGGAAATGAACCTAACCAAGGTATCTAGTAAGCATATATGGAGATATCACAATGAAATCCCTTGTACACTACTTTATGCTAATAAAAATGCTTGCAAAAATAAAGAAAGGCTAGTCACTGGTGGCTCATGCCTGTAATCCTAACTATTCAGGAGGCAGAGATCAGGAGGATCACAGTTCAAAACCAGCCTGGGAAAATAGTTCATGAGACTATATTTTGAAAAACCCTTCACAAAAATAGGGCTGGTGGAGTGGCTCCAGGTGAAGGCCGTGAGTTTAAACTCCAGTACCACAAACATAAATAAATAAATAAAGCAAAGCAATAGGTGTGCAGTTGTATGGTGAGGTGAGTGACCATATAAGAGCACTGGAATTCAATAGCAAAGCAATGGAGACCTGGTGACATTTGGAGATTTGGAATAGCAGAACAACAAGAGAAACAAAGCCATCTTCAGAAGGGTTCCATTGCCTGAGATTTTACTGCTCTAGGGGCAGAAACTCCTGCATATTCTCGTGTATGAAACACTGTGGACGTTCCACTGTGCTGCCTCACCAGTCTTGACTCAGGGAGTGACTCTGACATGACCCCATTGAGAGTTCTGTGCTTTGGGGAATGTGGGACAAAACTGTTCATAGTAGGTGAAAGGCCTGTTTTGGGAGAGGAAGCAGATCAGTGGGAAGAAGTGGGGAGACAAGAGAGTATATTAGTGGGGTGGATATGACTTTATGTGCATGTTTGAGAATGTCATAATGAAACTCATTATTTTGTATTATTAACATATGCCAATGAAAGAGGGGAGACTACATTGAGATTCCATCTCAACACAGTTAGAATGTATATCATTTTAAAAAAATTTACTGATGCTAGTAAGGTTATGGAGAAAGAGGAACATACACTGTTGATGAGAATATAAGTTCGTACAACCGTTCTGGAGAACAATATGGAGATTTCTCAAAACTAAATCATTCTTCTGAGTATATATCTGAGCTCAATGAAATCAGCACAGCTTGCAGCACTATATCGCAATAATTAAAATATGAAACCAACCCAGGTGCCCATCAACAGATGAATGGATGTAGAAAATGTGGTGTCTATATAGCACAACAGAGCAGCATTCAGCCATGAAGAATGAAATCCTGTTATTTGCAACAAAATGGGTGGGATCTGAGGACATTATGTTAAGTTATTAAGCCAAACACAGAAAGGCAAGTACTGCATGTTCTCTCTCATATGTGGAAGCTAATATAAGTGACCTGAATGTAGAATAGTGATTATTAGAGCTTGAGGTGAGGGGTAAAGTGAGATTGGATTTGACCAGTGCATACTCTGTGCGTGTATGGAAATACCACACAGAATTTCCAATCTGTGTATGCGAGTGGTGCACGTTAAAATAAAATAATTTAATAAAAAGAAGAAACCTGAATTATAGTTACCCTGTAGGAATGAAGATGAGGGGTTTCCAGACTGTTCACAGTGTTCTTTTTCTTTGCTACAGAAAAAACCACACTATGCATGTGTGGTTCCCATACTTTTCTTTATGTATGTTATGTTTTTAAAGAGTAAAACCACCAAGGAATGAAGTCGTTCACGTAAGTGTATGGTAGCATGAGCAAAGTACTTCACGTGTGTTTGCCTTCAATGTTATTTGCAAAAGTTTTCTAAATTCCAATATCCTCTAATAAAAAAAATAGGAGTTTTTCCTTATGCTTTGTTAGTCAACAATGTTTTGAAGTACTTATTAAATCATAGTTCTTGTCAACTTTCCCTTCGATTTTCAGCTAGTATAATTCTGACAGCCCTCATTAGCCAATGGCTTTGTGTATCCAAGCACTTTTATAACTTGCTTATCAACTCATCTATCAAGGTTCGAATGTCCTTTTGCAATGATTTGCAGTGAGTCTTTGGATTTTCACAATCAGTCCGATGAAGGCATTAACCTGCTGGATTTGGGAAAGACACAGGCAATAAGAGGAGATGTCTGGGTGGTGACCATGTCGTAAGTGATTGCCTTATCAGTAAGTAGTCTGTCATGATGACTTTCCTTCCTTATGTAAGGGGCTGAGCTGAACTGCTTTGCAAGAAGAACCCTCTAGGTGAAGGAGCAGCTACAAAAACAAGGACAAGAAATTAGATTAATAGTTTCCTAAGAATGTCACAGCTGTTTGTGAGGTCCCAGGTGGGAAATGGAAGGAGGAAGGGCCATAGATGAGATGACAGATGTGGGCAGGGGATTATCCTAACAGGAGTTTAGAATCAATTCTTGTGATGGTTGTCGAGCTTTTGAAAGGTTTTTTTTTTTTAAACAATTTATCACTTCTATTTTTTTTAATTGTTTATACGTTTATTCATATGTGCATACATTATTTGGGCCATCTTTCCCCCTGCCCTCTGTCCCCCTCTCCCCCTCCCGCTTTTTGAAAGTTTTGAGAAGAGAAATAAAACCTTTGGGTTGGGATTTCTGGTACCATTTAGGACGCAAATGTTGTAGTGTGTTTGTATTAGTTTTCTAGGGCTGACCTAACAAATTATCACAAACTGTATGGCTTAAAAACAGAAATTTATTTTCTCACAACCCTGGAGTCTCAAAGTCTACAATCAAAATATTAGTCAAGTTTGTTTCTTTCCGGTCCTCTCTCCTTGGCTTGCAGATGACTGAGATCTTCCTGAGTCTTCACATTACCTGTGTATCATAATTATTTGTAAAATGATTATGTTCTACTCTCTTCCCACAAAGACACCAGTCATGTGGGATCAGGGCCTGCCCTAATAACCTCATTTTACATTAATTGCCTCTCTAAAGACCTTATCTCCAAATGCATTCACCCTCTCAGGTATAAATTTTGGGAGGAGAGGGATAGGATTCATTTCATGGCAATGGGCAAGGAAAGATGATGACTGAACTAGAATAGTCGAGGCAGAGTTGATGAGCAGATGTTCTGGAAGCCAACTTGTAAGGTCTCTGATGCCCACAAGATGTGTGTGTGTGCGTGGGAGTTCCCATGTATTTTAGGATTGTGGTTTGAATGCTCAGATTGAGACCACTTTCTTACTTCCCAATCTCTCTCTTTATCCCTCATCCCTTTGCTGTCCTAGGTAGCACCTTCTGAAGTCAACACTACAACTCTTTAAGACTCCTGAGTCCATTTGTGGGTATAATCTCTTTAGTCAAAAAATATAACAAACTCTTCATATAGGAACATGTAGCTTCTACAGATTTTCTGCAGTCACTGGTGTGATGACTGGGAATCACTGTTTAGGCAATCTGAGGTCCATTCTCAGGTACTCTTTCTAGATATCCCAAAGGCATCCTTTAATGTTCAGGGTATGAGTGTTGCCTCATGGTACTACAGTGGAAGAAGTGGAACAACTGTGGTGAAAGTACTCTGAGAAATGACTTGAAGGGTTAGTGGCTGCCATTGTTGCAATGATTACTGTACCTTGCCTTAAGATGGTGTTTTGTATGGACTGTGATTGTGTTAACAGAGGCTAGGATAATTTTCATTTGCAGGATCACCAGCATCTGAACTGAGACAATCTACAACCATCTCCTCCTTAAGTGCAACCTGGAGTCACTTCTATTTGTGCCAAGATACTAGTTAGGGCTTGGTTCATTAACCAGAAGAGACTACATAAGGCTCTTCTTTACTACACCTTCCAGTTTAAGGTTAGTTCCAGGTGGGAAGAATAACATAAAGCTCTTCATACAGCATCAATCCCTGTCAGTGTGGTTAGGGATTTGGGGGAAGGGGTATATTCCAAGAGACCATACGGCAGAGCCCAGACCTAAACCTTGAAGTAAAGAGGCAAGAAGAAACATTTGGATCCCATTGGCCTATTTCAATTCTCCAGGATGAGGCATTACATAAGAATCTGTGGCCAAGGTGCAATTGACGTTAACCTGAAAACCTGTATTCAGAACCTAGTAGCCCTTGGTCAGAAGCTCAAGAATCCAGGATCCAGATTCTATAAATTCTCTTACCATGAGAACTGATAGAATTGACCATATGCTAGAACACTATGGAAATAGAAGGCTAAAGTGATACATTGATAGCTGGAATGAGCTGGGGATTGAACTCAGGTCCTTGGACTTGCTAGGCAGGCACTGCACCACTTGAGTCACACCCCCAGCCCTTTTTCATTTTAGCTATTTTGCAAGTAGGTCTTATATTTTTGCTGGTCTCAAACAACAATCTTCCTGATATATGCCTTTCAAGTATAGAATGAACATAAATAATGAGCCCTTTGAAGACCCAACAGGTATCCAAGGAACATACAGGCACCCTAGATAACTATTTCACTGACTCATTATAATGACTTAAAATTCTGAAATCAGGAGTCAAATAGATACATAGTCACTTGTCTTTCATTTTTCCTTGGAAAAGTGTGATAGTTTAGATTTTTTCATTGATGCAGCAAATATAACGTTCCCCACAATTTTCTTTCTTCTTCTCATCACTGTTGCATGACTTTCTGCATCTGCCCAATCCATAAGAACACCTTTTGACCCATCCATCTATCAAAATAAACACAGATGAATGTATCAGTGCAGGATAAAGGTAGACACTACCATACTGAAGATGTTGGTAACAGTGGTAATATCGACTCGAGTGAGCACTGATCCTGACACCTACTAGCAGTCTTGGAAATTCTATAAACCTGTGTGTGCAGAGTCCCTACTGCATAGGTACAGGTAGCTCTCTCTTTCCTCCAGTCAGCTCTACCTGAGTTTTGTTCTTATGCTTATGATGCTTTAATCTTTGTCATTTTTCACAGACTAACTCTGGTTCTACCTCCTCCCTTAAACTAGGTGCTTGCCAAGGAATTGCTAAGCCTTCAATTATCTATTTTCCCCTCATCACTCATTATTTGTTCAGCAGCAATTTGTTGAGTATCTGTTATGTGACAGGCCCTGGTCCAGGTACTTGCCACAGGGGATGTCCAGAGTAGGACTCTGAACATTGGAGGATCAGTTTTTTGTGCTGACCTGCAGGCTGCCATGTGGGTAGTTTAATCCTCTGTTCGTCTCTGATTTAATGTGCTTCTGCTATTCCTAAGTCAATAAAATGCTAAGTGCAGACCCAGCTTTCCCAACACATTGGGTCAGCCGTGGGCCCAGGCATGGTGGTTTAAATTAAAAATTCTCTCTACTTGCCTTTTCCCAAAATACTCTCCTAGGAGGTAATTCCCAACTCTCTTTCTCACCAGGATGTTCAGACATTCCAATATTCCATGCACCAACAGGTTGATTCTTTCTCTAAATGTCTTTCGAACCTGTCAACATCTTCCTCTATTTCAGTTGTCCTTGCCAGGGTTTAAGTCAGGCTAAACCAACTCAAAGTTAACCCAGAGTAACTTTTCTCCTCCTCCTCCTCCTCCTCCTCCCCCCTCCTCCTCCTCTTCTTCCCCCCTCATTCTCCTTTTTCATCTTCTTCTAAAACAACTGAGTAACTGGCAAAGACGTTCAGCTTGCAAAACTGATCCAAGATTGAATGTGGCTTTCAATAACATGACCCAATAGTAAATTATGCAATTAAAATTATAAACTTTAGAGTTCCCAAGAAGCCTAAGGGGAAATATTTCCATTAGAAAATTATTCACCACTCCACTACGAAGTTTGTTGTGTTGCTAGAGAGGTTTGACCATGTTTGATCTGAAATCTAGAATCTTCTGCCTTACCCCCAGCTCCACACTTTGAGCATATTTTTATAAACCTGTAGCTATCCAACCTCAGCCTATAAATTGTTCACCACATATTCTAAGACAAGACTCCTCTGCTTGCTTTAAAGAAACATTCAAAACCAAATAACAGTGAAGAGGTGAAGCAATGAGACTGGTAATTGCAAGAGATGGCATCACTTGAAGTGGAATTGAACTTAGACACATGGGGTGAGGCTGTTGACATTTACACCACGGGTGTTGAGTGGCTGCTGCATATGGATGGAACGTCATATAAGACACCCTGGCCTCCACTGGTACACTCCACGCTCCCTAATGAGAAGTATTGCCATGGTTGAGGTTGACAGCCTGCCTGTAGGAGAGCAGTAGATCAAATCCAGGGCCTCATGCATGCTAGGCAAGTGCTGCATGCCTGGGCTACGTCCCCAGTCTTGAGCATATATTCATTTTAAGGTTTTTCACTAGATCTCAGCCATCCCCCTGGCTTGTCCTTACTCCCATGCAAATTCCCTTTTCCAGTGATCCTATGAGGAGGACCCCATTCTTACTCCCGTTCCCTTTTCCCCACTGTTCTGGTTACCTGGGGAAGTCTGAGCCAGGACCACAAGGACAGCAAAGGCCAAGAACCAGAGTCTAATGTGTCCTGAGAGGGTTGCAGAGCGGTCCGGAAGCACACTGAATGTGCTGAGGAAGCTGGTTCCGCACTCAGGGTTTTAATGACTTCGGTAGGGCTGAGTCATGAGGAAGAAATCAGAGAAATGCAGAGGGTTACACCACCCAGAATGGCAGCCCTCAGGTCAGTGCTATAAATCAGCCCTCCAGTGTCCGGAGTCTGCTCTAGACACCCTCTGAGAAGCTGATGGCACTAGTTGAGGAGGCATAAATCGTGGCTCTGCGAACAGAGCAGATCCAGCCTCCAACAAATTTCCTGCCCCTCTCCATGGGAAGTTCAGCCCCCTCCCCTGTGCTCTCATGGCTTCTCTGCTTCTTCTTTCTGCACAATGCTTACCATGATGCGTTGGAGCTAAGTGTTTTCTAATTCATTCTCCTAGCAGACTGACATCCTCAAGGACAACCATGAGACTCCCGATGGTCAGAACAAGCTGTTGTTTCTGCATGTCAGAGCATGCGGTGCACGTGTTGAAAATCATTGATGAACAAACACATGCACAGTGCTCACTCGTGTCCTCATAGATCTTAGAACTAGCATTTCTTAGCTAAGAAAATGTGGGCCCAGAGAGTGCAAGAGAATTTCCTAGGCCTTCCCTTCCCTTCCCTTCCTTTCCCTTCCCCTCCCTTCCTTTCATCCTAGGATTTGAACTCAAGGCCTTATAATTGCTAGGCAGGTACTCTACAACTTGACCCAAGCATCCAGCCCTTTTTCTTTAGTTACTTTTCAAATAGGGTCTTGCTTTAAGCCTGGGTTGTCCTGGACCTTGATTCTCCTATTTATACCTTTTGCTGGGATGACAGGTGTACACCACCACACTCAACTTTTATTGATGGAGATGGCTGGTGCCTTGCAAACTTTTTTGCCCAAGCTGGCCTTGAACAGCAATCCTTCTGATCTCTGCCTCCCAAGTAGCTAGGATTATAAGTGTGAACCACTGTGCTAGCAGACCAGCTCTTTTTAATCCTGCATATTAATCTTAATTTCCTACCCCAAATACTAAATATTGGCCATTTGGGGAGTTTTCCTTGGACTCTAGGCCCAAATGAAGAGCAAAATATTTCCTGTGGGGTTTCCAACACAGAGGGTACAGATGAGAACACCGCCCAGGCTCTGCTAGGAAGGTTGATTGTGGGGCTACTGGATTTTATTTGCTTATTTTTGTTCTTGGTTTTATCACCATGGTCCTTTTGTACCTTTTAAGAGGCCCAGTCCTCCAGGAAGGCAGCAGGCATGGATGCCACCCCAAAACCTGTGCTAAGCACTTCACTGTACAATTCCCCAGGATCCTCACCAGATCCCTGACTGGCAGATGGGTTCAGCGTTGCATGTTGCTTATGGAGTGAAGTCTGGATCCAGCTCTGGCTTACCTGTCCCCAAGACACATGTTCTTGCTATCATCCCAGAGGATTGTGTCTCAGTAATGATGGAATGAGGAGGCTGTTGGAAAAGCAGAAATGAGCTGAGGAGAGTCATAGCTGTTATTTTAAATCTCTGAAAGGCCTGGTCTGTACAGGCCCCGAGGGCAGAGCCACAATGCTGCGTGGAGATTGGGGCTGGTGGGGGGGTTGGAGGTTGGGGGGGTTGGAGGTTTGGGGGGTTGGGTTCAAACTCCTCTGAAAGACCTCCGATGACTGGAGCCATCTAGAAAATAGCTGAATTTCCTGGGGATGTGGTGGCTCTCAGTATCCTAGCTGCAAACCTCATCTGCACTCCACTTCCCTTAGGCAGTGAACTTAAGAGAAGAAAGCAAAGTCCTGCCATTCTCATTAGGGAGAGAGACAGAAAACACAGTGTCAGGTGGCCAAGGGTGTTAGAAAGAAAAATAAGGCAAGGGAAGAGGGATATAGTGTGCTGTGGGGGGTGTGTGTGTGTGTGTGTGTGTGTGTGTAGGGTGGTCAAGGAAGGAATCTATGAGGAAATAACACTAAGTAGACTCTTAATGTACTGAGAAACTAAATCACCTAGATATCTAGAATCTTCCACGCAGAGAGCACAGCAAGAGCAAAGCCCCAGGGCAGCAGAGTGCCAGGTATCCTCCAGAGAGCAAGAATCCAAGTGTGGCTGGAGTAGAGAAACAGAGAGAATGAACGAAAGAAACTAAACTAGGAACAGGCAGAGCTGCCTCATGTTGGACCTTAGACATCCGTATTACAGACTTTGGGATTTATTCAGATGGAGAGGAGGAACTGTGGTTTCTATGTCAAGTGATATTTCAAATCTGAAAGTTCACTTCCATCTGGGAGACTTCACTTTCTCCATCTGAAAAGTAAAGCATTGGGGCTAAACCAGGGTTTCCTGAAATGTGTGACTCATGTCGTGCAGCGTGTGTTATTATTTAGGAGACATAATAAAGTGTATGTGTTCAATATATGTTTTAATTCTCATTTGTGGAAAAAAATCACTAGGCCTTCATCTGGTGGGTTTTTTTTTTTTTTTTAGGTAACATTACTTAGGATTTGAGCTGATATGGACTTAGGTAGATAGACTGTGTTATTGCTGTAGAAAAAGTAAGTAATGTGACACATTGTTCATTACAGACCAAAAAAAAGTTTGTAATGTGATATGCAAATGACTAAAGTCTGAGCTAGAAAATTGACGAGGGCCATTCTGTGGAATAGAAACCTAAAACCCAGAGAGTTCAATCTTGAGGGCACCTAGAGTCACACTCAATCCCCCTTCTCTACCATCTCTGATCTCTGGAAAAATACTAATTTGCTCTCCATCTCTAATTTAGTAATTCTGAGAATGCTGTGTAAGTGGAATCTTATAGGAAACCATCTTTTGAGACTGGATTCTTGTTTTGGTCACTATTTGTTCCTCTTATTGCTGAATAATATTCCATGGCATGAACATTTATTTGTGCAGTTTTCATTTCTCACTATTTTTAATTTTAGAAATGTAATGGTGTCTCATCCTGGTCTTCATTTGCATTTCCTTAATATCTAGTGACATCTTTTCATGAAGTTCTTTGTCATCCATATCCTTTCTGGTTAAATGTCTATTATGTACATTTTCTAAACGGAGTATCTTTAATTGCTTAATTTTGGGAGCTCTTTATTTTAGATATGAGTTCTTTGTTGGATATGTAATTTGAAAATGATTTCTCTTAGTAATTACTTTTCCTGTTAATTGTCTTCACAGGGTTTTTTGCTACAGAGGGTAAGTTTTCAATTTTGATGAAGTCCAATTTATTGTTTTCTTTTAAAGATCATACTTTTGGTGTTATGTCTAAGAACTCTTTACTAATCTTTAAATCTTCAAGATTTTCTCTTGCGGGGCAAGGTAGTATATGCGTATAGCCCTTGCACTGGGGAGGATGAGACAGGAGGATTGGGTGTTTGAGGCCAGCCTGGTTACGTAGTGAGACTTTGTCTCAAAAAATAAAAAAAAAAAACTAAACTAAAGGGTTTTCTCTTATGTTTTCTTCTAAAAGATTTATATTTTTATATTTAAGTTTTTATCTTTGAATATGATTCGAGTTAACTTTTGTCAAGGGTGTGAGGTTTATGTTGAAGTGTGTTATTTCTATTTATTTATTTGCTACAAATGCTCAATTGTTCTGGTGCCACTTGTGGAAAAGACTAACCTTCTTTCATTGGATTGCTTTTTGTTTTTGTCAAAAATCAGGTGGCTGCACTTATGGGACAAATTTCTGTGTTCCTTAGTCTTTTTCATTGATCTATTTGACTTCAAGTTTGAAACTCCCCAAGACTACTCTTACTTCTACACCAACTGCAAGTTTGAGAGTCCCCAAAACCACTCAAGTTTGTTAATTCAGAGAAGGACTCATAAAACTAAGGAAAGTCATTAGATTTGTAATTTAGAACAGACACAGATTTTTAAAGTATAGACTAAAATCATCAGCAGAAAGACAGGTCTAAGGAAAGGTCCAGGAGACAGAGTTTCCAGTGGTCCTCCCCAGAGCAGCCATGCAGGTAGGGCCTATTTCTCATGACAATGTGTGACAATGCACACATTGGGAAGTTAACTAGGCCTTGGTGTCCAAGGTTTTAATTTGGGCTTAGTCACCTAAATATGGCTTACCACTTGCATGGCTGACTTTAGTCTCCATCCTCTCTAGGGGTCAAACTAATACCCAAAGCATCCCAACATCTACGCTAGATAGCATAGACTATCTAGCATGTGCCAAGGCTCCTAGATACCCAAAGACATCTATCAGGTAGGGCATTCTAGTGTTAACAGTTACCTACCAGGAGTCAAGGGTTAAGACAAATTCTTTTGGGGGAGGAAAATCCCTTACCGCTCAGCATCCATCTCTCCACCAGTACCAATAGTCTTGATTACTGTAGCTCCATGGTAAGCCTTAATATTGGGTAGAGTGGTTCTGCCCAGTTTGTTCCTCATTTTCAAAATGATTTTGGCTGTTCTAGCAATTTTCCATATAACTTCAGAATAAGTTTATAGTCTACAAAATACCAAGTTGGGATTATGTTAAGAATTGCATTAAACTTGCATATCAACTTGGGAAGAACTGACATTCTTACTTTGATGAGCCTCCCAATCCATGAATATAGTATATCTCTTTTTTCAGCTTATCTTTGATTTCTTTCATTGCTGTTTTGTAGTTTTTGTCATGTAAGCCCAGGACAAGTTTTTTAGGCATATGCCTAGGTATTATTTTTCTTTGTGCTGACTACAAACAGTACTTTATCTTTAATTTTTAAAATTACTATACATAAGTAATATGAGGGTATTTCACTGTGGGAATTTCATACATGTGTACAGTGTACCTTGCACAAGTTCACCCTTTCCACTATATTTCCATTTCTCCTCTCCTCTTTTTCAAATATTGTTTGGTGAGTTTCATTATGCTGCCTTCATATGTTTATATGCAGTGTACTTCATCCTCGTCACCCCTCAATATCCTTTCCTTTTCCCCTTCTCCCTCCCACTGATTCTCCCCAGACAGTCCTCCATATATATTCATGTCCCATTATCACCTTGTCGTCATTGTCATCATCACCATCTTTTTAGGTCTAGATTCCACAAATGAGCAAGAACATGTGATAT